GTGGTTTCCTCTATTTGCTGTAGCCTCTGAACCGGGCCATAACATAGTAGTCTAACAAACACCCAAATGAACACATATTTATTAGTCCACAGCACCTACTGTTGTTGGGTGCACAACATCATCTATAATACTTGTCGAGCAATAAACTCAACATCCTGCAGTTGTTTTGCAGCTCTTGGCGCGCACCGATGTCCAATCCAGAGTTGTAGTTACGTGACGAGAGGTTGTCAAATGTTATTTCTCTAATCTCAATCATGCTGCAACCTCTGGGTCGAAAGTGAATCCATGCAGACGGAACTTAAAGCTGCATTCTCTCTAACGGCCAGCAGGGGGCGAGTTCCATTAGAAATAATGGTAAAATGTTGCTACTTCTTAGCTGATTTATTACCTCAGTAAACACTTTTAAATGAGTTTATAGTCTCAGTCGCTAGTTTCAAGTCTTCTTCAACACAGCATGATGTTCATTGAGTAAATTACTGTCCTATTTAGGGGAAAATAGACAATAATGCAGCGTACGATTTTGGATGGGACTACCTTGTGATTGACAGGTCGCTACCATGGCAACCTGTTCATCAGGATAAAGGCGACTCGTGTCCGCTTCTGTGTACATTTTTCATAAATTGCTGTCAGCAGGAGAGCACGTCATGTTTGAGTCTCTTAATAACATAATATCTTCCCCACGACCATTTGCGTATTATTCTCTTTATTAATTAATCATGGTGGCCTTGACTTCAACTTTATTACACAGCAGCTTAATAATTACAGGCTGAAAAATCGTGGTTGTCCCCAGCAATAATTTAATCAAACAATTAAAATATAAGCACTGTTGCCCACCAGTAGTCAATGTATTTGGCACACAAATTAGCAAGAGAACAACCAAAACCAAAATGCGGACTTATAGTCTGTCAACAATAACCGGACCACTGTTAAGAGTTTTGTCGTTTTAACTGCTTTGAGAGTTATAATATTATAGGTTGCTTCAAGTGTTTTAATATTTCCTGGCAGTCAGGGCTCCAGACCAAGCAGCAACCTTCCGGTTTCCGGACTGAGGCCATACCAGAAATGCCTAAAATTGCAATTCATCGAGTGGCCACTTGAGGCTGGCTCCAAAAGGGAGTCAATCTGTATTGACCCCCATGTTAAATTGCCCAATATTACAGCACAATAAAACACGTTTACAGCCTGGTACAAAAGATTCTTTTTAGTGTATATAGCTAATTTTGCCCTTCATGACAACTGTGAGGGGGGTTAATTTCTTTATAACTCACCCGTTTAAATTATATTAAGCCTTAAAGTTCTGCATTATTCGCGTGGACGCTTTGACAGGTGGCTGCTGCCCCTGTCACTGCTAGCCGACTGACTGCCGTCTGTCAGCTCAGCTAATACAGTCAGTCACAAAGCTCAGCAGCTCTGCCCCGTTTGTGCCTTTTGGACATTTCCTCATGCAGACAGTGGACGAATAATGGCATGATGTGCGATTTATTGGAGAGAAAGAACATCCACGAAGCCTGTGCTCAAGTTGGTGAGTGAAATTCTAGTATTTTATTTATGTGTTACAGTAATTAGACTGGTATGGGTACATAACGTTTGCTTGTTAGCTTAGCTAACGTTACCTAACCAACTAATTAGCCAGCATCAAACTTTGGTAACGATGCTAAAATAACAGGAGTCTGCTAACTGCAGTTTTTAAAGAATCATGCTGTAGTGTACAAACAGTGTGGATTTGTGCATTTTACATCAAATAAATTTGGACTACTCCAAATTCTTTCTCTCTCCCTGGGAGAAAGAAAAGGAGGGGGTGAGATAACAACCCTCAACAGACGGCTGAAGAGACCCCAAAGGAGGGGAGTTGAAAGGTTGCTTTCCCTAAGTGCTACTTCTGGGCAGTTGATCGTAAAACTGGCCATCTTTGGCAGCAGCTGAGATAAGCCTCGGTGCCTGACTGTTAAAATGACATAGAAACACTCACCAGAGACTAGCTTTCTCCTGAACAGCCTATCGGAACTCTTTTTAAGAGAGGGCAGGAAACCCTAAACTGCCCCCCGCACACGTAACCATGGCAACTGACCTTCCTCTTTGTTTAATTGCATCACATCAAAGGATATCAAAGGATATTCTCCTCCTGGACACCAAAGACACTGCCCTGAACTTCTTTGTGTAAACAAAGAGTACTGTCTCCTCAAAACTCAAAGCATTACCTTGTTTAATTAAATAATTTTTAAGTTACTTAATTAGGTCTCTCCTCTCCATTTGAGTTAGTTACCATGTTGGTGTTATTTGTTGTTGAAAAGAATCTAAAGAAGTTAATTTTGCAGTGTTTAATTTTCAGCAAGGATCCCTGACCTGCCATTCGTGTATCTTGCTTATATTCTCTAAGAACGTGTAACAGCCAAAATATCCAGAAAGCTAGTTAAGTTCCTCTCATCTGATGTGATTCCTATGAAATGCTAACCTTTTGAAGTCTAACTACTGACAATTGTTTTCCTTTTCTTCAAGTGCTTAAAACTAAGAACAGTACAACCGTTTGACAATTAAGATTTGGTTGTGAGAAGATATTTGATTACAATACACGCAAATAGGTTTTTGATTAACTTTTAAGATGTCTAAAGAAAGACGGTCTCTCGGGAAACCGAAAACAAGCCCTCCCTTAGGGGAACAAAGGACTGCCCTCTGGGAACCACACCACAACAGACAAAAGCAGCGACCCACGCAGTCTCGCTCTCTCTTGTTCCTGTTCTCTTCAACTGCGCTTCGGCACGCGCACCCCCGAAGAATTCCCTAGCAGAAAGCCAGGAATAGGGCAGCTGGCGTGGGGACCTGTGTAACCGGCCAAGGCAGGCCGCCGACCCACAGTAAGGCAAAACAAGGCATTCTGTGATCCATGATGTCCAATAGTCTGTTAATCCATTATCTTTAGTCCTTAAACTCCTAGACAAATTTAATCGAGTTAGTATCATCTAACTACTTTCATTAGTTCTCTTCCGCCGTATGAGTCAAATGCTCCCCACAATAGAACCCCACATTCTCATTGTTTATTTCTTTGATGTATATGTAACCGCATTTATAGTCACCTTAGTTAGTTAATAAATTTCACTGTAATCAAAGGAATTGTGTGTATTGCCTGTCTCCAAGTCCCTGCCACGAGAATTTACCCCTTCGATTTGAGACTGACTGATTTAAGATAATTGAGCGATTGTTAACTAACTGATCACTAGTGAATAATTGTCTAAATTATTAACCATACACAGGGAATCCCGAGACCCTGGGCGAACGGAATCTCGGGTGGTGCCCCGCGAAACGAGAAGCTTTATGAATGTTCTCTGAATATTAAAATTCATAATTTTGTATTAATTCTCATAAATTTATTAGATCAAAAGTAGTCATGCTACAATGTACAGAAGTCAAAACATATTAAGTAATGTTAATGGCCCACCTCGTCAGTTAGCTGACGTTATGCAATGTTAACGGTAAACTTGCCAAACAGGCATTGTTAGATTTGGCTAGGTAACATTAAAATTACTGTAACAGAGTCACTGTGTCACTTCAATAAATGGCTCCACCTGGACTGAGTGACGGTGTTGAGGACGCTAGCAGACACTTCTGAGTTTGTCTGGTCTCTAACTTGACAGTTAACTTGACTGTTCAAGTGGTGTCCAGCAGCAAGATTAATATTGCACATATAATATATGCTGAGTTCAGTATGTTTATGGCAGTTGGGAAGGATCTGTCACTAACTTTCTACCATTTTTGTGTTTACAGGTGCCAGATGAGCCGATGACCGCATCATTCCAGATGTGAAGCACGAGACTCCAGCTCTACAAAAGTCACAGCTACCAGTGTGGCCCTGCCAGCTCCTGCAGCTTACTGCTTTGCTCAGCCTTTTGTTTTTACTTTTACTCCACAACACCTGGACTCTACTGATTCCAAATTATGACAGTGGGTTCCTTCTGTCATTATATTTACCATTACAACATATTACCTTAAGTCATACAAAACAACTTTTGCATCATTTTTTTTTTTGGCGATGTTCCTGAGTTGGATAAAGAAATTAGATATGGAGAGAAATTAGCTGTATGGCTTCTGAGTAAGTCTAGACTCTCCAGCTGCATGCATTTTTAACCTGCGAGGCACTGCTTACATTCATTGATGTTTCCATGAATGCAAGATATGATTTTTATTTTATTAAACTTAAATTGTTTTATAAAATTAGAATAAATGCACTTAAAATAAAATCACATTCTTCATTCATGATTGTTAATTAAATATAGTGTGATCTAAACTTAATGTGATAGCAGCTGTAATGAAAATATTAAGATGGTATAGGATAACAATTTGCATGTGAGAAGCTGTTGATATGCATTTGTTTAATTTGGACATTTCTTTAAGGGATGAATGTGACATTCACTGTGAAGTTACTCTATTGTGAAAACCAAAGAATTATCTGCACACTAAATAGTTTTGAAGCCCTGTAGGAGGTGTCATTTATTGCTAACTCTGAGAAGGTCTGTGTGGCTTACATTGTATAGATGTGCACGTGTTTACCACAGGTGCATTCCATCAGCTCTGACACCTTTGTTTGAGTTTGCGTCGTCACAATTAATGGTACCACCTACTGGGATTCATTATTACTCTATGCAGGTCATTCTTTGTTTCATCATTTACCCACAGGTTGGTTTGGATGTGTACACAGTTCTTCTGTATTTGAAATAGACTTACAACTGAGCAGCAAAAAAGGCGCTCTTCAAAAACTATTCAGGCTCTGGTACTGAGTGTAAGACTCCTTATTTATCTTAAAGTATAAGGTAGAAAGCATAATTACATAATTACTTTTCAACATTTCATGTGTACCATTTTCACTTTTCAACTTCTAGACTTAACTCTCTTAGCAAGAGTTCAGCTTTAATATTTGATATTTTATCTGTGTTGTAGGATTAACTTGTCCTTTGAATTGAAAGACAGAATGTGAAATATAACATTTTCAGTCAGTAATAAAGACAAAATTAGTGCAAATATATTGAATTTATTGCAATGTGAACCATAATTGATATATTTTTAAATATACAAAAAAACACATATGGACAATATTTAAAACTCAATGTAAAAGTAAACGGAAGGGGAAAAGGCCTTTACACATCAGTCTACCCCATCAGATACAGATGTCCAGCACACTGAGGAGGCTTCACAGGTCTCTGCAGCTCTCTGGCACCAGGTGGGACATCTGATCCACACTGTGACTATGGAAGGAAAACAAATGAGTAATAAATGTTGCAGGTAGTTAATGTAATATATAAAGTTAACTATAAAAAATGCTTCAGTTTTTTTTTTTTCAGTTTGATTGACTATTATGTTATATTTGAGAGAAAAAGGAACAAGGGAGCAATACCTCGATATATAGAGGACAGTCAATAACAGTAGTCAACAATGTTTGTGTTGTCGTTTGAAGACAGACAATGTTACATCACCTGTCAAATGTCCAGTAGCCATAACAATAACTGCTGGTAATGTTAACGTTAGTCTCCACATAATCTAGTATGGCAAATAACCACACCCACACGAAAACGTTGAAGCATTTTAAACCTTATTTAGTATAACATAAATAACAGAGTAATAGTTACTTTAAGTGTTGCTGTAATGTTTCAGGTTAACTTACCTCCAGCTGGTAACGATGCGGCCACAGGCTCCCAAACGCCAACCAGACAACCTCTGGGTAAAAGCTACTTCTGCTAACGCAGAGTAGCATATAGCATTAGCTCCTTAGCCTGAGTTAACTCGGTCGCGTCAAACTAGGCAGGAATGGTTTCAGCAACCAGTCACCTCAGCTCCACCCACGTACCACCTCTTTGCCCATTTTTGGTTATCCGGGAGTGACGGCCAGCTCACACACTATGTCCATTGTGTTATACAGTCTATGCTCCAGACTAACTTACCTTACTAGGAGCACCGTAGACCCTAACTGAAAATTTTAGGGGCACAGGCGCGTACACCTTAAATCAACCTGGAATACAATTTTTCGCATTTTCCCCATTTTAACTCTATCTGTCTTGACAAAATGTATGTTTTAAGCTGCTGTTGTGCTTCACTAAGGTGTTGTGTTAAAACTGTGCAGTGCCAGTTGCCTCAGCAAACTTGGTTTTCTCCACATCTTGTGGACCACATCTAGTGCAGTAGATACAGTTTGTGTTTGTGTTATTGCTAAATCTAGCAATAATACAGGCCAGGAATCACCAGACCTCATTTTGTGGACTAATCCTTTGCTGCTGTAACCGGTACCGAATTAGGTATACATCTGACCACTATGTTCACCTGGGAAGAAAGTGATCCACATTACAAAATACAAACATTTGGGTCTGACCATTAAAGTAACACTTTAATAGTTTTCAAGGTGGCTATGGGTGCACCCCGAGAAACAGCCTACACCAAGCTTAGCGCACACAAATGTACAAGGGTAGACACAAAAAACAATTAGCCTACACTTTCAAAAAAGAGAATGGGATATACAGAGTTTGCTCAAATGGTTTTCCTTATATACAAGCATCCATCATATCAAAAGTATAAAAAAGTCACACACACACACACACACACACACAGTGAACTTGAACATAAACTACAACAATGAAAGTAATTAGGCCTATTAGGCATCCAAAAAGATCTCCTATAGCCTGCAAAAAACAGCTGTCTTTCAATAATTTCTGTAAGATATTTTAATGTTTTCTTGCCTATAGAGAAAATACAGCACCGCTCAGAATTGACTGCCATGGTTACCACCCATAGAGCGGCTGGTGTTTACTCGCGGAGCGCCTGTCTCTCTGCCTGTTCACATGAGGACCGCAGTGAGACACCGCGGATCCAAGAGGGTACGCTGAAAAGGTTGGTTGACTTCTTACGAACAAAAGCGAGACACATGAGTGAAGTTGACGTGGCCACACAGGTGACCAATCTCTCACAAGCCCCCCGCACTCACACATTGGTCACACACTCTGTCAGACTTGCTCCCACCTCGTTTTTCAACGCAAAATTTAAAAAAGAATGTCGTCAAATTTAAAGGTCTATAGTAAGTTTAGTTGTAAAAAAAAAAAATGCTTGCACTGTGAGATAGATTTTGAATATGCATAAAGTTTTGAACATTAAAGAAAAACTTGCTGAAACACAAGGGCTATTAAAGTCCAGGGATTTATAAATGAAATCATGTATCACTGAAAGTGAAAAGGTGCCATATGCACATTTAAAGAGGTTACCTCATCAAACAAAAGCCACAGAAGAGAAGGGTAGACTATATCATGCGTACATGTGTTGAATGAGCTGGGATGATGTTAAACAGTTGATCTGCAGGAGAAGACGTATCTGAAAGTAACACAGAATGGCTCAATTATACACTGCTCAAAACAATAAAGGAAACGACACAATGTAACTCCAAGTCAATCACACTCCTGTGAAATCAAACTGCCCACTTAGGAAGCAACACTGATTGACAATCAATTTCACATGCTGTTGTGCAAATGGAATACACAACAGGTGGAAATTATAGGCAATTAGCAAGACACCCCCAATAAAGGAGGGGTTCTGCAGGTGGTGACCACAGACCACTTCTCAGTTCCTATGCTTCCTGGCTGATGTTTTGGTCACTTTTGAACGCTGGCGGTGCTTTCACTCTAGTGGTAGCATGAGACGGAGTCTACAACCCACACAAGTGGCTCAGGTAGTGCAGCTCATCCAGGATGGCACATCAATGCGAGCTGTGGCAAGAAGGTTTGCTGTGTCTGTCAGCGTAGTGTCCAGAGCATGGAGGCGCTACCAGGAGACAGGCCAGTACATCAGGAGATGTGGAGGAGGCCGTAGGAGGGCAACAACCCAGCAGCAGGACCGCTACCTCCGCCTTTGTGCAAGGAGGAGCACTGCCAGAGCCTGCAAAATGACCTCCAGCAGGCCACAAATGTGCATGTGTCTGCTCAAACGGTCAGAAACAGACTCCATGAGGGTTGTATGAGGGCCCAACGTCCACAGGTGGGGGTTGTGCTTACAGCCCAACACCGTGCAGGACGTTTGGCATTTGCCAAAGAAAGAAAGAACACCAAGATTGGCAAATTCGCCACTGGCGCCCTGTGCTCTTCACAGATGAAAGCAGGTTCACACTGAGCACATGTGACAGACGTGGCAGAGTCTGGAGACGCCGTGGAGAACATTCTGCTGCCTGCAACATCCTCCAGCATGACCGGTTTGGGGGGGTCAGTAATGGTGTGGGGTGGCATTTCTTTGGTGGGCCGCACAGCCCTCCATGTGCTCACCAGAGGTAGCCTGACTGCCATTAGGTACCTAGATGAGATCCTCAGACCCCTTGTGAGACCATATGTTGGTGCGGTTGGCCCTGGGTTCTTCCTAATGGAAGACAATGCTAGACCTCATGTGGCTGGAGTGTGTCAGCAATTCCTGCAAGAGGAAGGCGTTGATGCTATGGACTGGCCCGCCCGTTCCCCAGACCTGAATCCACAGACTGTCCAGGAGTTGGCGGATGCTTTAGTCCAGGTCTGGGAGGAGATCCCTCAGGAGACCATCTGCCACCTCATCAGGAGCATGCCCAGGCGTTGTAGGGAGGTCATACAGGCACGTGGAGGCCACACACTTTGATTTTGAGTGTGACTCCAAATCCAGACCTCCATGGGTTGATAAATTTCATCCATTGATACTTTTTATGAGATTTTGTTGTCAGCACATTCAACTATGTAAAGAAAGGAGTATTTAATGAGATTATTTAATTCATTCAGATCTAGGATGTGTTTTTAGTGTTCCCTTTATTTTTTTGAGTAGTGATTTTCAGATTTTGAATTGTCACCTGAATTTCGTGTTTCCCTTTACATAAATAAAATACATTTCCACTATAAATTGATCACAAAAGGCAGAAATTTGTACAGAAGTTTTTGGGGGGTGGACGTTCAGAACTCCACTTAATGTGTCCACCCTCCGATGTTGAAACAAAACTTACTCCCTTGAGCCACTGAACTGTAATGCAGACACCACTCATCTTTAAGCAGCCTCCAGGGATCATGGAGCAACTGGTCTTTAAAGTCAAAGTGAGAGGATACAGAAGCAGGAAACAACTGCTGATGAAAGATAAAGAGGGATAAAAGATAAGTAGAAGTCGTTTGACAGGCTCACCTTGGGTCTGATAGGCATGACATCGAAGGCATATCCAAGACAGTTTAAAATGGTTTTTGACAACATTTGACAACCTTAAATCCACCACGTTTTTTGGTTGGGACAGGGTGTAGCACGGGCTTTTATTTGCTATAAATCACTGAATTGACCCTGCCTTTATTTGGGACAGGCGTCCATATGGGACAGGCCTTTAATTCTTTTTGCACAAAACTGAAACTACTATGAACACATTCGGACTTAACGAGCACTTCAAAATTAACCTGAGTCAGCACTTTTTTAAACTTTTCCTCTCTTGTAGCCATGCAGGTTACACCGGTAAATCTAGAAGAATTAGAATTTGGGTCTTGTTGTTTCCGTTAAATGAACTTAACAGTGGTATTGTGGAGAATCTAACCGATCTAACAATGTTCGGCGTGTCCATACTGACATATTGATCATACGTTTAAACATTAATGTTTGTATTAACTAAATGTAAGCAGCTTAGAAGCAGCTAAAGCGGGCGACCCCGCGAGGTTTAAGAGGTTTTATACATCCAAAGAACTTCTATAAAAACCAGACCAGGCGTTTAATTAAGGCAGGCGTTTATTTGTCAAAACGTGTTCCCACACTAGGCCAGTAAAGGAGGTAGGCGGCAATTTGTTGAAGTTTTATAGGATTTGTTAAAATTCTTCTCTTAATTGCTTTCCTCATTAAATCAAAGCAGGGCACTGGACGCAGGCTGCAGCCAACATATGTCTATATAAAGTGTCTGACAACAAACATTAATCTTATTGGTATTTCTTTTAGAAAATGAGCATAGCAAAAGTATGTGGATTAAGATCATAGAATATTACTGCAAGAGAAGAATGGTGAGAAAGAAAGGGCTGGTTTAGCCACATTAAACCAGTAAGATGAGGAGACATGACTTGACACATGAGTTTGCTGACCTTTGACGTGTCATCAAAACCGATTCTGTCATGTAGAAAATCACCCACAGAACGTCCTAAACCGAGCAGCTGAAAACAACCATACATGTCAGGGCCCAACAATAACGGTGGCACAATGGCCCAATGGCCCAGGGCCAGTAAAAAGTAACATCGGGACTGTTGAACTAGCAACTCACTGGCCCAATCGGGCCAGTACAAAAACATTAGTAGGCTATTAATAAAACAAAAAAAATTGCCTTAGAAACTCAACATCCACACCGTTGGCTAATTAACAGTTGTAGTGACGTGACAATTGTTTGTCAAATGTGATTTCTCTCATCTCAATCAATCGGCAACCTCTGGGTCTGACCGTGAAACCATACTGACGGAACTTAAAACTGCATTCTCTACAACGGCCAGCAGGGGGCGAGTCCGCTGGTTGCAAATAGAAGTCCGGTTCCATTAGAATAAATAGTAAAATGATGCAACTTCTCATCTGAATTATTACCTCAGTAAACACTTTCATGAGTTTATGGTCTCGGTCACTAGTTTCAAGTCTTCAACACAAAATGATGTTTATTTAGTAAATGATGGTCCTATTTGGGTGGAAATAGACCAGAAAGCAGCATATGCTTTAGGGTGGGACTGCCTTGTGATTGATATGTTGCTACCATGGCGACCTGTCAGTAAGGACAGAGGCGACTTGTATCCGCAGCTCTGTGTACATTGTTTTTTAATTAAATTGCTGTCAGCAAGAGAGAGAGCACGTCATGTCTGAGTCTGTTAGTTAAAATTATAAAAAAGTTAACAACTAAACTGTGATTACATTTTACTTTATTTTTTTTATATCCAGGATGTATTTAATAAACAATTAAACATGTTAACAGAATGACATAACTTACACGTCTTTGGTTTTGTTGTAACACTGATAAATAAATTTTGGAGGGAGGGACAGTAAAAATTGTCTTGGGGCCAGTAAGTTTCAAACCCACAGGCCTCTCTCAATTTTTCTAAGATAAATGGCCATCAGGTTCATGCGACTGGTTTTGTTTCTGGTTAGGAACCCATACATCTTGTTTATTACAGCCATGTGTAACACCAACTACTGACGTAACTACGCTTGCCGTAGCCCGTTTTATTTGCTCTAAACCAGCTGATGGAAACGCACGTTTCGCAGTGGCTTTTTTTTTTGGCGACATTTCAAAAGTACGCTTAAAATTCGCATGACAATTAGATGAAAACATGGCTATTCATTCTTATTAAGTATACATGTGTATACTTAAGAATGTAAAGGCAAGGTTGATCGTATTGCTTTATAGACAATATTCTGCTGCATGAACAAGGAAATTTACTTTACAATTGTGGATTTCCTGATAGGACCAGTCTGCCTAGGTGAAATCATCATATAAATGCAATACCGGGGTAAAAATACAGATGACCAGTGTTTCCCTAGGATGGAGTTGTAGCAGCGGAGGTGAAGCAAAATTTTTGTCTGAATACAAAACTCCAACACAACATGTCTCAGCATCATTGCTCTTTGGTGGTGGTCGTGGTCGAGGGGGTTTGGGGGTCATCTCGGGCCTTTATTTTCACCATATCTCTGAACAAATAGTTGGAAAAGCTAGAGCAGATAATAAATAACACCCAAAGATCAGTCTACTGGGGAGGAACTACAACCTATAGATTTGGGGAAAGTAATTTAGTTGGTTGTGATGCTCCACAGTGATTTTACATTTATGGCACAGTGTTTTGGGCATAACGGCAGGAAAACCCTGTTATACTATGACCTCAGAATCATTATAGATACGACTGTTCATGTTTGCCTTTTGTGTCTTCATTTAACAGCCTTTGACATTTATCTGTATAGACATTAAAATAAAAAAAATAGGCAACATGAGAAATGACCTCCCTTCTCAGGTGCATTTTATTTGCACATTCAAATCCGAAGAGAAACGTTTCCTCATTAGCTTAAAAAGGACTAGTTTGCATCACTAATTTGCTTTACTAACCTCAGCTCCTCCATGTTCAGCACCACCCTTCTTTTCCTAACAACCACATTTTCAGACTCACCTGAAAAATAGTTTAAGATATCTGTCTGTAGGCTATAGGACAGAGCTGTAGGTAGGGATGAAACAGTATGAAAATTTCATATCACGATTATAGTGACCAAAATGATCACGGTTATCAGTATTATCACAGTATTGAAAAATGTGCCGAAAAAGATTAAAATGTACTGATACACACACTGAAACCATTTCAACAAGTTTTAGATTGAAAACTAC